TAAAGACCATGGCCTGCACTTAAACACAAGAGGCTCTGACAAAATTATGTCAGCTGCAAAAGGCCACCCTACTGCACGCATTATTCTCCGATACATCACACAGTCATAGACACTTGGGAAGTGTCTGACATGTGATCCAATACAAAAGCCAGCATAATGATCTTGTTTGCTGTACACTAATCTTGTTGTGTATTAAATAATAATAATAATAATAATAATAATAATAATAATAATACCCTGCTTTTTCTCTCCACAATGCAGACTCAAAGCAGCTTACATTAAAAGCATTTCAATACAATTTCAAATCCAAAAATAAACAAACATAATTCAATTAAACATCAATGCTATTAATTTAAAATTAACAGTTTAAATCATTGAAACTAATTAAAAATCCATTCATGGCGTGTTCTTGACATGATCTGTTCAGAGGAGGTTTTTCTTTGCCTCCCTCTGAGGCAGAGAGATTATGCCTTGCCTGAGGTCACCTGTGCCATTCATTTCATTCATCGCGAATGTTAGGAGCTCCCTGTGGCACAATGGGTTAAGCTCTTGTGCTGGCAGAACTGAAGTCCAACAGGTCGGAGGTTCAAATCAGGGGAGAGTGTGGATGAGCTCCCTTGGTCAGCTCCAGCTTTCCATGCAGGGATATGAGAGAAGCCTCCCACAAGGATGGTAAAACATCAAAACATTCTCTCATACCAGAAGTGACTTGCAGTTTCTCAACATGAAAAAAAAATGAATGTTTATTTAAGAATTTCTGTTTGGTTGATCGAAATGACTATGTGCCATTTAAGAAATTAGTTGTAAAACTGGAAAGGTGACATTAAAACCAGTCCAGATTGGTACGAAGCATAATTTATTTTGGCTTTTTTGCATGAAACCTGTTTCACAACCACTAATTTTCTCTCTTTTGGGAGGGAAAAGAAAGAAATGTCAAACATTTTCTTGGCTGTTACATATAAACATTAAAGACTGGAAATGTGAAATAGTTTCCGCTCCCTCCCTCACAATCCATTATAACACGAGAATTGCTTTGTGCTTAAATTCAGAAGCCTTTTCTACCTTATTTTTCCCCACCAATGGTTATTTAAACAATAGTAGGCATGTCAACAAGGTCTTTTCTCTGATCCATAACCAAAAATGTCTACCTGTACTTTATTAATGAGTTATCTTGTTCATTCTAATAGTCTCTTATTTTACTTCATTGTCCCTGAACTCAAGTACTTATCTCAGTATTATAGAATCATGTGCAGATATGGTTGTCAGATCAAAAACAAATACCTGTTTTGTTCTCGGGGCTCCAATGTTTCAAACTAAAGGAACATGCTAAATTATGTAAAGCATTTTGTACACTAGTTTAGAGCTACTAAGGCATATTTATTGTAGCTCCTGTCAAACTGAGTCTGGCTCTACACTATGGAATTAAAAGGGTTGACTTTACTTTCACTGCTATGTCTCAATATTATGGAATCCTGGGAGGGGTGACAAACTGTCTTAATTTGAGTGTAGATGCACCCTGAGAGAAAGAAGTGGGTAGCATAAGCTTTTGAGACTGAGATGACTTCTTTGTTTCAGTTAGTCACAAAAGTGCTTCAAGATCCTCTTGAATATTCCAGACCGAAACAATTGTCTCTTTCTATCTTAATGTTTATTTGTTGTGCAATTAATACTCACCAATCTTTTAAAGTGAACTGTAACTGTAGAAGCCCTCATTGGAAGACACTGTGAATCACCCACTCATTTGACTAATATCCCACTTTCTCCAATAGGTTCAGCTCAGACGACTCATATTTTGAAGACCATGGGCCAGGAAAAGTGGGAAAGGTGGCTATGACTACAGAGGAAGGAGGAAAGATAGAGAGAATAACCCTTAAAACAATGGTTCTCAATTTGTGGGTCCCCAGGTGTTTTGGCCTACAACTCCTAGAAATCCCAGCCAGTTTACCAGCTGTTAGGATTTCTGGGAGTTGAAGGCCAAAACATCTGGGGACTCACAGGTTGAGAACCACTGCCTTCAAAGACAGGGAGGAGGCCTGCAACCTGTTTTGCTCACTGGCTGGTTGATATGTAATGGCAGAAGAAGTCACATCATGCCCTTGCCGCATCTTAGGTCTGATGCAGTGCCCTGGTTGCCTTCTCTGGGCCTAAAAGATGGTCCCAATATGGTGGGGACAATGTAGTCCCTGATGACCCTGGTCAAGCACTGGACACACCACTGTTAACACCTTGCCCTCCTTTCCCTTAGGTTCTTTATTGCATTGAGGCACAAAAAGCTTGCCGGCAAGGACAGATTCGTTCACACGACTCCATGCAGAAAGAAAATTCAAGTGTGGATGATAAAATAGCATCCGTGAGCACTTGACACCAGAACAGAGCCCCATGTTGGAGCCTGCTTCCTTACGTGCCTAATAGAATATCAGCCAAGCACTGAGAAATGAAGCTATTACATCCTATCAGCTTTCATTGGATTGCAACTCTCATACCACTAGGGTTGGAGTCACTCTGTGTATCACTCATTGTCACCCAGTGAGTTTCCATGGCTGAGTGGGGTGCTCTGTACCATTTCTAATGGCTGCAAACCATACCTGGTGACACCATCAGGACAGACTTTACAACTCTCATAAATGATCATTTTGGTCCTGTGCTTCAACAGGAATATGTTGTGGAATTTCAGCACTTGGTGTATCTTGGAACTCCTTTTGGGCTTGAGGTCAATTCTTCCTTTTGACCTATTATTCCCAGAATTTTGTTGGTGCACGATTCAATATTGCTTTTCTACTCAACCTAATATTTAAAGACACTAGGCCTTTTCTGCTGCATGTATAACTAGCATGGTATTACAATCACACAGACCACATGGACCATTTAATGGATTACTTCTCAGCCACATTTGTTGGGAACTGGGGAAAAGGGCCTTCTAGGTGTTCTTTCCTAAGCTTTATAATTTCCTTTCTAGATAGTCTGGAATGGCCTTTCTTGTATTGGTAAAGGAAACTTTTCTGTTCCGATGCACTTCCTGGAATTGGCTGCAAGGACCGCAAATAGTGTGATTTTCCTTTTTCCTTTCTCATGGGTTTCTTATAAATAGCTTTAATTATATAGAAACTGTAAATACATTTCAATAATATATTTTTACATTTTGTGAATGCTTTTAAATATGTTTGTTTCATTTTGTATAAGCCACACTGAGTCTCATTGGTGTGAAACAGCCAGGATGAGAAATGCAACCAGAACTTAATTATAGTAGGGAAGAAATCATTGTAGCAGAAGAGTTATTTGCGATGGCTGGTGCATTGACAGCAGAATCCTATACACATATCTGTTTACTCAGATGCCAGTCTCACTTTGTTAAATGAGGCATGCAGAGAGCTGTGGGGCAATCTTTTAAATCTTAAAAGGGAGGTGGGATTAAATACCTAATGTCACAAACTTTTTAATTTATTTGTTTTATGTAAACCCTGCCCTTTTGCCAAAAAAGCCCTAAAGCATTAAGTGTCCTGAACACAATGCAACATATTTGTAAACGCCTTATAATATAATCGGGAATACGACAAAGTCACCGAGATCAGTGAACACAAATACATCATTAAAAGATGACATGAGTTACTACATGGCATGTTCAATAGCAAAACTAAGGACACTTTGGTGGAGGAAGTGGGATTTCTAACAGCACAAACTGCTGAAGAAAAGTTGGCCAGTCAACAAATTCGAGATTGCAGCAAATATTTATAGAATTTGCTAGAATAGTGCAGCACTTATTTGTGAAACCTTTATTTCCCCCATGTTTAGATACGTGAATGCTAAACTATGTTAAGAGCCGCTCTTTGTAGAAATGTTTAAAAATGAACCTACAGATTAAGTAGGATATGAGTACTATATTTATGTGAATAAATAATTAATTCATGCTTTTCTACGTACAGTGAGTGGCCTTGTTGAAAATATTGCAATGCTTTGTTTTATCAAAACAGTATTTCCATTTTAAAAGTACACTTCTATTAACATTTTCTAGACCAGTAGTTTTTAACCTGTGGGCCGCGAACCACCAGTGGTCGCGAGGACGAAAATCTGGTGGGTGAATCTCTTTCCTATTTATTTATTTAATTTATGTCTGCTCCCTTCACACTGCCTGCCACTCCTTCCCTGTCGCTGACCAGCCCCGACCCATTGGATAGACCACACCAGCTCTAGTTTAAATATGGATTTCTGTGGGCGAGCAGATGGCAACTACTGGATAGCATATGTTCTGTATCAGAAACTAGAGCTGATGTGGTCTATCCAAAGCAATTTTCTGAATCAGCACCCCAAATAACCAAACCAAATCTAAAGTTGACCAAAAACTGATTTGTAACTCTTTTGGTACTCATATTGGAGAGTGGTCCCTGGTCAAAGTGGTTTCTGTTCAAAAAAAGGTTGGGAACCACTGTTCTAGACCAATGTTGCTCAGGCTACCTGATGTGGGGCTTTAGCAGTCTTTCCTTCTAATGCACAAATGGACTTGAATGATTTTGTCCTCAGACTCCTCTCTCATAGGCCCCTTTTTCACTGCTAAATACAATCGAGATTATCTGCTTTGAACTGGATTATATGGCAATGTAGAAGGGGCCTTAATTAGAAACTTGCCATGAACCTCAAAAGACCACCACTTTTGAGAAGCTCTATTCCAGTGGTTCTCAACCTGTGGGTCCCCAGATGTTTTGGCCTTCAAATCCCAGAAATCCTAATAGCTGTTAAACTGGCTGGGATTTCTGGGAGTTGTAGGCCAAAACACCTGGTTGAGAACCACTGCTCTATTCCAAGCTATATATGTTTTTGAACTATAATAATGCATATGATTTACGAAGCAAGATCACTTCATACTTTTTTCCCCAATAAGAAGGAATTCGACATGTGAAAAGAGATTTCTTTTTGACCCTACTGCCAATAATTCCACAAATTTCATAGTCATGGCTGAGTATTTCACTAAAAAAAGGAGCTTCCCCAAATCAATGATAAACACTCCATAAGAAGAAATCTTTTATGAATCACAGTATCAATTGTGTTAATAATTTACATTACTCACTGAGGCCAATTTCAATAGAAGGAAAATAAAATCCATTTCCATTCCCCCTTCAATTGTACTATTGCTAAACAAAAACAATTATGCAAAATAATGAATCTGTAAATAAAGAGTACAAAATGATTCTGTAAAATAAGTGTGTTACAGAAATATAATCTCCACATTTCTAAGTAAGCATTTATATACAATAAGGCAGCATGATTTCACAGGAATTACTACCTACAGTTGAGCCTTGCAAGGCAGGATTCTGTCCTCTCCCCTGTGACCACATCCCTGCAGCTTCCAAGTTTCATTTATGGATTTAAGCAGCAATTATACATTAATAAGATTACAGATTGCCTGTGCTTTTTCGAATGGGTCAATTTTTGGAAACAAAGAGCAACAAAACAAAGAACTCTTGGTGAATTTCTGTTCTCTCACGTAAACTAGAAAGAAAAAAAATATGAAAAAAGCAGAATCGTTATTATTGTCCTAAAGAATTACTTGAGATTAAAGGGCTTTGGGTTGGTTTTCCTTTTTTTTTTTTTACATGCCAAAAGGGAAGCGACAGAAGATGTAACCCACTGAGAATTTGACCTATGCAAGCATCCTAAAAGGAAATGGGAAATAAATGCCTCACCTACCTTAAATTCTTTCAAGTAAATCAGCTGTTCTCTTAGTACTGATTTGAACTAGCTTAGAACTGCTCTCTTCAATAACATAGATTATAGGAAGTGCCAATGATATCAATAGGCCCATTTCAGCTTGTTTTATTTCATAGTTATGTGTGAAGCTTTGGGAATATATACTAAGAGTTGGATGCCAGCTTGGTAGAGAAGACTTACTGAAATCAATGGGTTTAGTTGGCCTAAATCTGGACCCAATACTAAATGTCTAGCAATTGCATCAACCCACTTTTATAAGCTTTTGTATTCTTTTTGTTTAAGATGGACTATTTTTAAATTGCTTCAGTTAAAAATGAATCAGTCTTCTGAATTGTCAAAGTCTTTCATGGCCGGAATCACTGGGTTGTTGTGTTTTCCAGGCTGTATGGCCATGCTCCAGAAGCATTCTCTCCTGGTGTTTTGCCTGCATCTATGGCAGACATCCACAGAGGTTGTGAAGACCTCACAACCTTTGAGAATGCCTGCCATAGATGCAGGCGAAACATCAGGAGAGAATGCTTCTGGAGCATGGCCATACAGCCCAGAAAACACACAACAAACCAATCAGTCTTCTACTTTGATTGAACTCATGGAGGATGGAAATCAGTATATGCAATGGTCTGTACTAATCTTACTGTTTATAATGAATGTCTCAACAATAGTTAATTCTACTGTCCAAAAAAAAAAAAAACTAGCAAGATTTTAACAAGATTTTTCTGAATAATGCTAAAGAAAACAGTGTTATAATTTCGCCTTGCAACTGTACTTAGCAAATGGCTGGATTTAGAGGTATAAAACTGGGCTAATTAGTTTTGGTAAGAGAGACACAACCCCAACAGACATGATCAAAAAGTCAATAGTTGTTTTCTTTACACTCAAGAGATTCCTTTTAAGAACTCGCAAAAGGTGATCATCGGTTTTTGGCAACAGGCATCTGTTCACATTTTAAGAAAGCAGGGACCATTGTGAATTACTGTAAATGAAATATTTCGCATTCAGGTGGCTTAAGGGGAAGCTTAATTGCCCTTTTAAAAGCAGCAAAGTTCAAGACCACAATTTCTCCAGCAAATGTTCACAAGAAAACAAGGACAGCACTTTTGAAGTAAATGCATTGCAGCAGTGTGTTTACCATAATGTGCAGCCATAATAGTTTTTTTTTACACAGACAGTTCTGATGTTACTTCAATGTTAAGAACACTTTTATATTACCAAAAGAGTGAGGTCTTCTGTATTTACAGTATATACATATTTACACACTTCTGCTAAATACGGAAAGAATATTCAAGGGCAGAGTATTCTTTCTGCATATGAATGCCCCTTCTGTGCAAAGTAAACAATCTCCATCCTGGCAAAATGCACGATTAGATGCAATCAACATTCCTTGGTCCACCATCCATAGTCAAAGCACCAAACCTAAAGGAGAAACAATCCAGTTTAGTCAAAGCATTCAATGGTAAATTACTGTAAAAAAAGTGAAATATGTGGTGTTAATACTCCATTTCAATGGCAATTCTGTGCCATCCCTTATAATGGAGTGGGTAACCACTGAAAATTAGTGAGTTGCACTTGCCCCCTCCCCCCCCCCCACCAGAAGGTCCTTGAAGGCTGTAATACTAAACACAATCCATTTTTAAACTTGGGAGTATGAAGACATCTTCCTCATGTTTTTGGCTTTTCAGGGCTATTTTAAGCCCAGAACAGTCCTTCCCCTCTAACAACAGGAGACACGATTCCGGATAACTTCCTTTTCTAAAAAGGGTGCATGGGCTGGGCTTTGGCACAGCAGGTTAACTGTCAGCTGCAGTAAATCTTGCGAACCGAAAGGTTGACAGTTCGAAGCCCAGGTCAGAGTGAGCTCCTGGCCTTTAGCCCAGCTTGTGCCTACCTAGCAGTTTCGAAAACAGCAATGTGAATAAATAGGTACTGCTTAAGCAGGGAGGTATATAAAGAAATGCCAGAAAAATGCCGGTGATTCAGTCAAGGAGGAAGCTTACAAACAAAGCTCTTTAGCAGGGAAAGTGGAGTGACAGCACACACCCCCCCATAGCCAGAACCACGCACATCCTCCAAGATGCCGAAAATGGGAAAACCTACATACACCTCTATCTATGTACAGTTGTCTGTCTTGTCAGTGTATAATGGCATTGAATGTTTGCCATATATGTGTGTTTTTTGTGCTTGTGTCACAAGTGACTTGAGAAACTGCAAGTCGCTTCTGATATGAGAGAATTGGCAGCCTGCAAAGATGTTGCCCAGTGGACACCAGGATGTTTTACCACCCTGTGGTAGGCTTCTCTCATGTCCCCACATGGGAAGCTGCAGCTGACAGATGAGGGCTCACTCTGCTCCCTGGATTCAAACTGCTGACCTTTCAGTCAGTAGTTCTGCTGGCACAAGGGTTTAACCCACGCCGCCACCACAGACTCCTGCCATATATGTGTTCTGTGATCCACTCTGAGTCCCCTTTGGAGTGATAAGAGTGGAATATAAATACTGTAAATAAATAAATAAATAAACAAATTTGTAAAACCCAAGGCCCGTGGGCCGAATCTGGCCTGCTCTGTCATTTTATGCAGGCCTCCAGATGCTGGACTACAACTCCTGTATTCCTCATCATTAGACATCATGATTAGAGAGGATGGGAGTTGTGATACAGTAACAGTTTGTGGTGTTTAGTCAGGATAGCAGGATTTGAATTTAGAGACATTCAAACGTCCATTAACCTTTCCCCAACCTCAGAGCCACAAGGGCTATTGGGCAGCAGTTCTCACAATCCCCAGTCTGCATGGCAGATCAAAAGTGATGGGAGTTGTCATTCAATAACATATGGAGACAAAAACTGGGTAAAAACTAAAGAGCACCAACCAATATGTTAAAAAGTATAGTTGGCCCTCTATCTACAGATTCTCCCTCCTCATTCTGTTTTGCAAAGTGTCTCCTAAGCTTTTTGTAGATGCAAGAAAATACAGTTGGGGGAGACATTAAATCCTCAGACCCCAGCAGCATACTACAATACCAAGAGAAATTTGCTGCTACACAGTTATGTATGAGAGTATGACACCTCAGTAGTACACCTTTTAGAGCACTATTTCTTAAATTGTGATCCTCAACCCCAAATGGGGCCCCCTTAGCTTCACATTGAGATTCCAAAAAAATCTGGTAACAGAAAACGGTTAAACGTCACTTAGTGACTGTTTTAGGAATTTACACAAATCTATTGTGAAGTGTTAACAGTGGACTCTGCAGAAGGTGCCTCAACTGTACTTTATAAAAAGGAAGATCAGCCTGTTTAGCAAGCCTTGCAAATGCTGATTTGTTATCAATAAATAATTGATTTGTATACCTGTTTTATATACCTACATACTGGGAATCACATAACATTTTCCCGTGCCAAGAGAGATCCCGGGTGGAAAAGTTTAAGAAGCCCTGTATTAGAGATGGACACATGTCCGTTCAGATCATTACCCAAACACAAAATTCTCAAAAAAAGTGCACAGCCACATGTTCACTGAAGGCTTTCAATAGGTTCAATGTCGAATAATGCTTATCAAAATCCTCATATACCTTTCTAAAAGATGATTATTTTCAGCTAACTCTTTCACAACACCCTCCATTTCTTCTTTCAGTTTCTTCATGCTGCAAGTGAAGAGACAAAGAATGTATGAGTTCATGCTAAATTTTCAGTTGGAAAACTTTATGAAACCATTTCTCACCAAGAGTGGTTAACTAATGAAACTTTAAGAGACTCTGATTTCTAAAAAGAATGCCAAGAAAGAGAGCAACTCCTTAACAATTACGCAAAGTGAGTGAATCCAGTGACTTTCAATGATAAGCTCTGATGCCAATGACAACACTAGAATAGCTGATGTGAGATTGATAAATACTAATGTAGTACATCTGAATGTTTTTTCTGGAACCATGCAAGTTTGGTCTATCTTTATGTAGCTGAACTAAGTGGTTCAAATAAAGCTTCATATTGCCAGAGAGGTTATTTTCTAATACTATGCAGGCAATTTAGGAATCCTGATTTGCCAAGTGGCAGATGTGAATAGATTATCAATTGCATTCCTTTGCTGATTTGACTGGTTTTGACTTTTGGCTGAAATTAATCAGAATTTCCCTGTCGATGATAAGAATATGACATCAAAAGAAATTTAATTTTTCTTTCTTATAGAATCAGATCTAGTTGACTTCAGGGTGCCAACTGATGTTTATGTTTTAATAATAATAATAATAATAATAATAATAGTCTTTATTTATACCCCGCCATCATCTCCCCAAAGGGGACTTGGAGTGGCTTACATGAGGCCAGGCCCAGTAATTCAGTACAGCAACAAATAAATAATACAAAACAACATAATAGAAAATCAAACACAGTGGGCAGGCCAAATGTATGACATAAAATGATAAAACTCTGGATGATATATATCAATGAAAAGTGCAATACGTTTTGTATTTGTTTTATGTTTGCTTTATATCTCATATAATAGATTGTGTTTAAATCTTATTCTAATTTGCTAAATTATAATTTGTTTTTATATGCTGCGGAATTTAATTTTTGTTATTATGTGTCTATTGGTTGTTATGTTCAGGCATTGAATGTTTGCCTTTTTTGTGATTGGAATCTGCCTGAGTCCCATCCTCATCATCATTATTTGAAATACAAGATGAGTCCAAAGCAAACAAGATCACTCTGCTGGCTGTTGTATTGAATCACACATAGGACACTTCCCAAGTGTCTAGGACTGTGTGATGTATCAGCGAATAATGCGTGCAAATCCCAGTAAGGTGGCCTTTTGCCGCTGGCAGATGGTAAATTTGTCAGCGCCAATTGTGTTTAAGTGCAGGCCAAGGTCATTACGCACTGCACCCAGTGTGCCGATCACCACTGGGACACCCTTTACTGACTTGTGCCAGAGTCTTTGCAGTTCAATCTTTAAATCCTTATATTGTGTCAGCTTTTCCAGTTGTTTCTCTTCAATCCTGCTGTCGCCTGGGATTGCAACACCTATGATCCATACTTTATTTTTTAACACGATCATGAGGTCAGGAGTATTGTACTCCAAAACTCTGTCTGTCTGAATTCAGAAGTCCCATTATTATTATTACTCTTATTTATGTGTTTCTGCAAGGAAAGCTACTAAAAGGTTATACACTAAATTGAACAGAATGTTTCCTCATAGTCAAAGTAAATTTTCATCTTAACAAAAAACAAAGTTGACCAATTTCAGTTTAAATACATTTGTAATTATGTGAAATCACAAATGGTTTACAACAATCTTGTCTTACAACAAATCTCTTACCCGAGAGTCATTTCCACCAAAGTATTTGAACTTGGATACACTGGATTAATTGCATGTTTGATCCCACCAGAAGCTGCAAGCATTTTATGAGGCAAATTTTCTTGCAACTGCAATAAATAAATAATATCAGCTTTAAAGCCTAGGATACAGCGATTGTTGTATGTCTAATACTGAAACACTAGTTTTGAGATATAAAATTAAGCACTCAGCGTCAAAGAATCCTGTATGTTGCTGTTATTGCTAGCCTGTAAATTAAACAATTTCAAAAATCCTTGACATTGCAGCTCTCATTCATTCTTTCTAATCAACGATACAAACTAGGGACATATTGGAATAACAGTCCATAAAACTTTGGGAGATGACCCTTTCTCCATTTGTAATCCATAACTCAACTCTTTAGATACACGGATTATGATAACATATAAAAACGTATGAACTAGTGTGGTCTCTGAGTAATCAGTTCTGACCTTTTTCTCATGCATTTGGAAGATAACCAAACAATAGATATATAAAGGTGAGACTGCAGGCAGAGAGGTTAAACTAAAGGCAGAGAAAACTGACTGTGACAATTAGAGTTAAGATTGATCAGCTACTAAAATATTTCTGGATGACACAAACATAAGTAGTCTAGCACTAGGTAAGCCAGTTGATTCCTCATATACATTTACAGTGTCGCATGACTCTCTGTTGTATTCGCTGCAATAGGAAAGTCTCCATTTTTTTATTCACTAGTTTGTGAGTCAGTTCCTATAATCCTATTTCTTCCCCCTGCAGTGCTGGAACTGCCTACGCATATGACAAATGGAATGGCACAGCTAGATACGTGAGACTCAAACAATTGCAGCCAAATTCTAGGCAACAGGCTGGCCACAAATGTCTGCCAGATAAACAATTCTTTTTTTTATATGATCCTTTCTAATTACTCACATCATATCACTAAGAAGAAATCTCACCTTGTCAACATAATCCTGGTATTTGGAAACCTCTTTTTCAATATCGAAGCAGAGTTTTCGAAGCGTCATTAACTGTTTTTTTAAATGGTGCATCTTCCTGAAAAGGAATTACATCTATTTTGTAAACAATGCTTTTGCCAGTAAGTACTGTTACTGCATTGCTGAATACATCACAAAAGGGTCTTGCCTTGTCCAATCTTCTGCCTTATCCAAGAAAGCTTCGTATTTGCTGACACATTCTTCCTTGAACAGAGTCATGGCTTTTGTTGCATGTAGGAAAAGCTTCTGCCTGCAGGAAAGAAATAAGAACCAGTGCATTGGCATATTATTTCTAGCTATTTCATTTGGTCAACTAGCTTAAAGTTTAAAAATATACGAAATAGGGATCTAACTATAAGGCAGGGAGAGAAATGGCAGCTCATAAATGCACAGCAACGTGTAGCTAAATTGCACATTCTAATAACCTGTGTGATGTGTTTCATTCACAGTTAAAGCATTTATATTAGGGCTCCATCATTTTGAACTGCTTCGGCATGATAAGGCTGAACTGGGTAAGAATTCGCCCTTCTTAAGTTTTTCCACTTGTGACCCCTTTTGACCCAAGAAATTTCTATGCAGCTCTGGGTATATTAGTATATAAAATAGGTACAGAATTCAAACATCGAGTGATAAAAAAACCCAGGCTTGGTAAACAGCCTGATTTTTCTTTTTATGAGGTACAGCTGAAGCTTCCTCTGTAGAGTCCATGTACAAGTCTAAAACAGTCACTAGGTGCTATTTCCGATAAATAACATTTTCTGCACAGTCGAGCGCCCCACATGATAGAAAATAAATCCTCAAAAGAATAATCTGCACACAGAACAGTCTACATGGAAGGGACAAAGAAGAATGTGGTATGGCAAAGCAATTCACACACAATTATTAGTGGGGTATATTAAGTCAAACCACAACATCCTCTGCCCTACTGTTTTCTGCCATTCAGGCCTGAAGTTGTGAACTAGTTGATTCCTTCCAGCAGGCTTATATATTTATCCCCCACTCCATCCCCTCCTCATCACAGCAATTAGAAAGACATGGAATTAACTGCATTACTTCCAGTGCTGGAATTTCATTTAGGGTAGCTTAGCATCCAGCAGAAATGGCCCACAAGATGCCCATGTGGTAACGGTAGCGTGACCTCTTTACACATGCACACAATCTCTGCCATCAGTATCCATGGAGAGTTTATTTTAAAATTAAAATGGTTATTCTTAGTTTTTGAGCAGCAACAGTATGATGGACAAAAATGTTCTAAGAAATGCAACTAATTTTTCACCATATGTTTTCCACTAGGGTCACAGAATATTTGAAATGGGGAGAGATCAGGACTGTGTATTATCTATACACATAATGAAAGTGAAAATATGTATGTGTTTGTGCCTGGGGTGTCCACTTACACAGACAAGCTCCTGCCTCCACAAACATCTATAACTCCCACTACTCAGGAGACACCAATGGCCTTCCCTCCAATGACATTGCATGTTACAGTGAGTGCCATGAACATGTCCAAGAGCCCTGCCAACGAACCCCACCGATGATGCATTTAGAGCAAACTTGCCCAACATAACAAACTTTAAGTACTGATGGAATTTTTGGGGTTAACGTGAAATGATGTGAGTTGGAATTCACCCATAACTTACTGCATTTTTGTACAAAAAATTGACTTTTTCAAATAACCCGGGCAACGGCATGTACCCAAACTAATACAAAATAAAATGTCTATAGTCAAGAGGGACTTACTTGTCAAATTTATGAATTTGTTCTTCATTATAAAGAAGTCCTAAAAGGAAAAAATTCAAATTAAATTGGATAGTGAATTAATGGCTTTCTGTTGATTTTTGGTTGTAATCATTTTTCTGAGTTATTTATTAGGACATCTTTCTCTCTACACACTCTATAACAAACAGCTTTGAGTCCCCCTAAGGGTGAGAAAAGCGGTATAGAAATACTGCAAATAAATAAATAAATAAATAAATAAACATTCACCTGCCAGTTTACTTTTATTGTCTATAGGTAAAGGTAAAAGTTTTCCCCTGACATTAAGTCCAGTCGTGTCTGACTCTGGGGTGTGGTGCTCATCTCCATTTCTAAGCCAAAGAGCCGGCATTGTCCATAGACATCTCCAAGGTCATGTGGCTGGCATGACCGCATGGAATGCCATTACCTTCCCGCCGGAGCGGTACCTATTGATCTACTCACATTTGCATGTTTTTGAACTGCTAGGTTGGCAGAAGCTGGGGCTGACAGCGGAAGCTCATTCCACTCCCCGGATTCGAACCTGTGACCTTTCAGTCAACAATCTCAGCAGCTCAGCGCTTTAACCCACTGTGCCACCGGGGGCTCCTTTATTGTCTATAATGGTCATCAACCCAAACATAGGTTTTAAAATGGTGATTAGAAGCATAGCAATTAAAAATGACTGAAAGATACTTACTTCGTTCTGCTTTGTCTTTTTTGAATTGGTGATAAATATCTGTTATAGAACTCAGTAGCACTTGTAACCTTTCTGGGCTAGAAGAAAAGCAGAAAACAATTAAAGATATAAATACCAATAGAAGCTTTAACAAAAGACAAAACCAACTGAAAGCGTCACTTACTTTCTGTCTTTGGAATGTGTGCCTTCCTGATTGGTCCAGCTATCAGAGAGCAGTCCGCTAGGAGAGAGCTTGTTTTTGATTTCTTGAAGACTGGTTTCTATTGTCACTCGTGAATTAGAAAGCTTTAGAAATGAAACAAATCTAGTTTTACACAACAAAAATGTTAATGGCATATCAAATATGCAACTTGAAGAATGTTGATGTCTGGAACACATCTTCCAAGAATTTCCAATTACAAGAAAAATCTGATTCTGGAAACTTCTGGAAGCACTTTTCTAGAAACCTCACAATAGCAGGGAGCAACTCAATTTCTCTCCATAATAACCAGGTTTCCCCTTTAACACACTTTGATAATCCTTGACATAGGCAGCAAAAACACAAAATCATAGCTAAGAATCTGTGATTAAAAAATACAGTTTATATTCTTTAGTCAGTATAAAAACTTGTCTACATTATATAGGATTTGTTTTCATATATATACTTTTATGTGTGAAAAAAATATTTTTCTTAGCTATGACTAGTACTTTAATGCTAAATATCTCCATTTTATTTTCATGCAATGTTATTGGGATGCACCTTCACTGCCAGCAAAACAACAGATTTGCATATTCCAAAGCAACAGTTTTTAATATCAAATAACTAGACTGCCAGAGGGTAAAATCACTGGAGAAACATAAAAAGAGAAAAAAAATCACAAAAGCAGTATGCTGCAAATGTATTTTGAAACAAGAAAAAGATAACTGGCAAAAGCTGTCAGGGGTGAGTTGAAGGGACTGAGAGTGGTATGTATGTTAGGGTACTTAGAAATGAAGACACATTTTTTTACTAAGAACTATAAGGGAATTAGAATTATATAATTTGTAGACAGACAAATCACCTAAACTTCAGAGTTATACTAGACATAACTAAGTGAAGAATGAAACTAGACACAACAAAGTGAAAAGTTCTAATAACCCATAACTCAGATTGCTCCCTACATAATATTGTTATTCTGTAGACATATTCTAATAAAAAACTCTTTTGCTACACATTTATGCACACTTCTACAGATATGACAAAGATCTTTATTTTTGTTTCATGAAAGTACACTCTTTCATAAGTACACTACATAAAATATAGTGTGTGCATGAACTTTAGTTAAATTTCCAAAAAACAGAATTGATTTTCTATTTCGTAAAAATGGTGTAACACCCAGAATATAAAAGAAAAACCCTTATTTTGAATACCACGCTGTAACATAAAGAGGTTTACCCGTAACACCTTTGAATGTATATCTGAAATTTCATCCACTTCTGATGGTGCCAAGTTGTTTTGTAGCATATTTTGATATCTGTTCAGGGGAAGCAAGAAAAAAACAAATAATGCCCTGCATTGTTCTTTAGTTATGCATTTTCTAAATATCGCCTTTGGGGATATTTTTGAAAGAGAATGTACATATACATATCATTGAACATCACTATATTCACAGAAAGGCACAATAGAAATAAAATAAGGAAGGGTAGCTCTATAGTCCACACATCAGAATGCTATTATCATGACTATTATTGCTGAATTCTAGATATTCCTATTGAAGCTATTCCCCCTAACTCTGGAGTTTACTTTGAATAATTAAGAATCACTCTGGATACAATTGGGCATTTGTTATCAGTACGTTTGTGAACCTTGAAAATGTGATTTGACTTTCCGTAAAACTACTTAAATCCAATTTGACAATACACATATGTGGATGCAAACTCAAAGACTTTGGCAGCAGTTTTGCTTGAATCTTATTCTAACAATGGAACAGTTTAGGATAGCATATTATCATTTATTACTGACATGATTCTCCATGTGAGCTGTTCTTCTCCATTTATAAAGGAGCCACAACAGTCAGAAAGCCAGAAAACTTGTTTTGTTTCCTTCTGGCATTTTTGAATGCAGTGACAAAGAAGAAAACTTTCTTTGGTGCCACATTGCATGCAGAAATATCATCTAGCACGGGCATTGGCAAATTTCAGCCACCCAATGTTTTGGACTTCAACTCCCACAATTCCTAACAGCCAATACACAACTTTGGGTAGGGTCTTTGTTTTATTTAAAAACAGTGGAAAATAATAATAATAATAATAATAACAAAAACACCTTTATTTATATTCTGCCCTATCTCCCTGGAGGGACTCAGGGTGGATTACAAACATAAAAAGCAAACATTCAATGCCTGAACATAGTAACAACACACACATAATAATGAAAATTAACAACACAACATATAAAAGAAAATCATAACTAAAATTCAATGAAAAACGCAAACTATTATATCAGACATAAAACAAAACATCAAACATAAGTATCAATTTCCCAGTTCCTTGGGGGCAAATAAGATTGATCACTCATATTTGGTATCACAGTCTGAGGTGTGACTGGCTAAACATCACCACAAAACGGAGCAAGTTAAATCATGCAATAATCTTTTATTTTTCTGTAATAAAATCCAAGTTGTTGTTTTCCAGTGATTACTCTATGTAACATGACTCTTGTTCCTGAGTTATAAATGTGATTTTCTAATTGGTTCTATCATAAAAATATGAAAAAAAGTTTTTTAAACTGAAAAAAACTGTTTGTCTTTGCAGAAATCCTGCTTTAGTGTTTCAGTGAATATCTTCATCCTATGAGTCTCAACCAATTCAGCACAGTTTGTAGCAGCCACAAAAACAAAGTTTCTGGAATAGCACAACTACTTTCAAAGTATGTACCACACAATTAAACAGGAAATAATGCTTTCAAACCAGAAACAGAACATTTTTTTCAAAATTTGTTACATAGTGGACCTCTGCATAATAATTATAATTATAGGTAAAGATTTATTTTTTTTAAAGATACAGCAATCATTCAGTTAAAAAGATTGGACCTTTTCAGGGCACAGACAATTATACTCACATTTCTACAGCTTTTTCTATACTTCTGTTGCAAAATTCCAGTTTGAGAACAACCTCTGTTTTTTTGTGAAGAGTTTCAGTGTAATCTTCCTTGATAATTTCACTACAAAGCACACCAACAGAATGAGTGTACATTACTTTAAACATCTCTAATATACGTATGCACTAACAAAAACTTCTTGAAAAAAATTGCATGGCTTTGTGAGAAAAGTGATACAAGTGAAGCAATTGACAAATCAATATTTATCTTTTACAAATAATGAACTTCCATGAAAAAGCACTAAGTACTAAATAAACTAAGGCTGTAATTCAATTAATACTTTGCACTGTTCATTCTATTTAGTATTTTATTATTGATTTATTTCGAACATTTGTACCCCGTCCTTCTCAAACCACCCGGGGGGGGGGGGGGGCAGCAATTTGATGTCAACACATACAAACAATAACAATATAATATAAATTAAACATTAGTTAAAATATTAAATTATAATGTATCCATTTAAAAACATTAATATGTTTTTAATAGTAGAAATAAATATGGTCAGAGGAACACCACTCTACACACAAGCATTATGCGCTTGTACTGAATTTAACAATATTGGTTCATATCCAGATTTAGAAGACCATTTGAAATCAATGGCAATCGCTAGTTATGACACTGATGTATCTATTCCAGGTATGACTAAATCTATATATAATCCATGGTTCACTAGTTTCCTTTGATGTACAGGAAAATGCAGAGTGAACTACACTGACATCAGCCTAAATACAATTGTTTGGTACAATGAGACACACTGAATCAACAGAATACATGTGTACATGCCGTTCAGCAATTGATTCTACGTGTCTATTCTAGTTGGGTGGAGTTGAGTGGAGTAAACAGATTTAGGCAGTTGTGTAAAGTGATATAACCCAAGAGCTGCAGATAGATAGATATGGCATGCCCCAACATAGGCCTCTTTCTAACTGATTGTCTGATTATTTAGAACAAATATTGATAATAGAAACAAACACTTACATTAGCCATCGGATTCCTTTTCGCATAAGTTCTTGATAAAGCAGTAAAGCACGGGCAACTCTACAAGCATAACATACAACCCCTGTCACTGTCTGAAAGATTAATAAAAAGCATCAGTGACATTTACTATATTTTCAATAAGGAGACAGATTGTCATGAAGCTTTCATTAATAGAAGAGAAGTATTTTAGATGCAGATGAGGAACTAAAAGATAGGTTGGTGGGAATACTGGTTAACAGTTTTGAGTATCTTTAAGACAGAAGAAGAGTAATAATAATAATAATAATAATAATAATAATAATAATAATAATAATAGATAGGATATTGGAAAATCACATTTGCTTGTCACCAAAATATAAAGAAAATTAAAAGACAGGGGGGTTTATAAACTTTGGGTTGCAGTTTTATCATGGATGAGCCTGATTATCTATCAGTTATAAAGAATCAGACAAGCTTTACAATTTTTGCATTGTATTATTGGAACAAATAACAACTATAATAGAAAACAAGGAACTCTCACAATAGAAATGAGCAGAAAATACTAGACTTGGGATCCAGTTCTTGTTTAGAAAGAAGACTTGGATGTTCTAGGTGTTAAACAAACAAAGTTCACTTGTACTTTAAGATAAACTTCTGATTGAATAAGAACTCTGAAATTTTACTGAACTCCTCCTTCAAAAGTCCCTGGTCTGTAGAATAATTAACCAAGTCTAATAATTGATTTAGCATGTCAAAGAAATAGTTCAGGTGCTTATTTCTACCTCCATTCACTACTGAAAGAGAAACAACACTTTAAAGACTTCACTTAGATAATTCTGTTCTATAGTATCTGAATTCAACAGAATACATGTACGTTTCTTATTCTGGCAATAGTCCTTACATAGTATTATGATTAGATACTTACTTTAGCCATACTTGCATCACTATCCAAGTCGTAACGTTGGTGCACCTTAGGAAGGGGAACTGGAATAGAATTTATTTAGAAATAAACATGAATAAAAATTAAAAATATATATGAAAATTAAATTTAATGTAATGAAATGCACTCAACTCTTCCCATTAAACAGCAAGAAACAGAAAAAAATAACATACAACTGAGAAACCTCATAGAAAAGTTGTTAGGGGCACTTTAAAAAAAATTACTACTTGAAAAGTGCTATAGAAATTATAACAAAAATATAACAAAACTACTTGTGAAGCTGAAATTGCTGTTCTTTGCTCTGTGCTCTATAAAGGAATAAAGAATTTAATTTTGAAAGGGTTCTACTGAAGGAAACTTGGAATAGAACCTTCTACTTGCCTCTTCAGAAGTAAGTCCTATTGGGTTTAGCAGGGTCTACCCTCAGCTAAGGCTGTAAAGCACTAGTGCCCAACCTTTGGTTCTCCAGGTATTTGGGACTCCAACCCCCAGAAGCCTTGATCAGCTTGTCCAAAGTTCAGGAATTCTGGTAGCTGAAGTCCAAAACACCTGGAGGGCCACAGGTTGGATACCACTGAGGTTAGGAATTGTGGCTTATAAATGCATTCCTATACCTTCCCACTGAAAAGTCAAACCAACTGAGTTCAATGGTAGTTACTTCCAACATTCTGTACAGAGAATAGACTTGCAACTTTAATCGCACAGCCATGTTTTAGCTTATTTATATAGTGTAAGTGTATTCAATCATATTACTGTCGCACAAACTTTATTGAAAAGAATGGCTGACTCACTGCAATGCTAATTATCTGCCTACGAGTTAAATATGAATTAATGTATTTCCCAATTGTAAAAAACAGAGGTGGTTCATCAATACCTTCGATGAATTGTTCTCCTTTCCAAATAATGTTTAGTTATGGATATATATATATTTATAAATAGAGTTCTGATGAACTGTACTCAGAGAAGATTTTAACCATCTCAGAATGTACACATCTAAAATGTCAATTGCTATGTTCTCCCAATTATAATTATGAAAACTCTGCTTGCTTCAACAGGACTTGCAGACACGATAATAGTAGCCAAAGTAACAGCTGTTACTATAATACGTTAGAAACACTTTAGTCAGATGGAAAAGAGATTAATACTTAAATACGCTATTTTTTTCTAAGAATTATATGTCAAAGATTCAATATGGCTTTAAAAATTACTATGCAGTTAGGTGAAATCAGCATTACATTATGCTAGCTGACCATGTTAGAAACAATACACCACACACACAATTTCTGACTTAAAAAACAGAAGTGGCTCCAACATACTTTCTTCATAAAGTAATCCAATGATGTCCATGGTCTCTCTGCTTACTACAATTATGGGATTGTCTTCAGTAGTTCTGGGAAATGCTTGCGCCAATCTGCTAGGCTCTATTACTAAACGTCGGCCTTCATATACCAACTCTTGATTATTTGCAGGTATCATGGTCTGTTTGTAAACCAATTCGTGAAACATGACAGCACTGTAAGGAAAGAGTGAGAATTAATATGTAATAAATAAATTATTCTTAATAAAATAAATATAAAGTGACAAAGAGAAAAATGCAGAATGAATGAAAAATGCTAGAGCATGGATACTACTTAAGATCCCTGTCCTTAAGATCCCAGGCAGTCCACAAGTTACAAATATCAGACTTACAAACAACTCATAGTCAAGAATAGGGGTCAAGACAACAGGAAGTGAGATAAATCTACCCCTTGGAAGGGAAATTCAGCCGTGAAAGAGTTATTCTGGGGAAAAGATGTCTCAACTGAAGCTTTATCATTAATCCTTCTTTCCACAACAATCCAATTTTTTTCAAAATCCAATCATCACAGGGACAGAAGGTGAGGTGAAATCTTCTGAACAGGCGCACAGACAGTAAAACAAGCATCACAGGAGTGTTAACAGAACTGAAGTGATACTCACTCATTATGCATGTGAATATAAATTTTGTGCAAGGTCATTTGTTGCAAAGAGAAAACATGGATGATTATTCGGTGTAGTATATCACTTGACTCTGCAAAAAACTGATCAAATCCCCAGCATTTCTCTTGATCTGCTTCAAGAATATTTGCAAGGACAGGGGTAAGTAAGACCTGCAGTCCTCTAAAAATGACATGGAAAAAATACAAAGTTTATTTGAATTACTTACACCACTGCTTCTTTTCTCCAAGTCATGTGTTTTTTATTATGCTTAAGCACAAAATTTATCATAAGAAAAACATCAACAAATTAAGCTAAAACATTGTATTGCATTAACCTCAACAAAGGAAAACAGAAGAAAACATTAGTATAAATGAACATTAGTTTAAATGATGTTTTTTATCAGTATAAATGTCATTAGCATAAATGTCTTTAATCGCCTTCTTAGATTTTGATGAAACATACTTAGAAAGGCTGCAGGAAACAGGCATTTCACGACTCCACTCAATGGGTCCATTTTCTGCTTTTTGTACTCCAGATATTGCACCAGAAGGTTTTCCAGTAATAATTTTGTACCTTTAATTGTAAAGATAAAATGTATAGTAATCTGAAAACACAAGGCTTTAATAACCATTTGTAATGTTAATTTGCATTTTCTTACATTTTAACCAAGACATTGATCAGTAACCAATCATTTCAAGAACAAACATGCAACAGAGCTCAATTTTCTGCAGTGAAAAGATAAGGAAATGGTAGTAAGGCAACATAGTCTTAGGTATTCAAACATGAATCACAAAATAAAATTTCTTTAGACTTTGTGTTATTTCCTCAACCAGGTATTTTTATTTATTAGAACTATTTGTGATTGCATTACTTTCCTCAAAATTACCTACATCACTTCCTTGTTTCTGCGAGGACCTTCAAAGGGTCGGAATGGCAAACTTCCAGTTGCAGCATGGTAAAATGTTACCCCTATACTCCACAAATCAACCGTTGCACCGTATTTCTTTTGATGCTCTTTTCTCAGTACAGCTCGCTCATACATATCTGGATGCTAAAGGATGGGAAAAAAAGGGGAAGTAATGAAAGAACAATGTACTGTATACTGTTTTCAATAAAGGATTAAGTTACTTTACAACCCACCAAAAACAGTCTTGAAGAACTGATGTCTTAACTCTTTACAAGTATGCTTTAGTGATAGAATACACTTTAAAACACTAAACAAGATCAAAATTGATCTTTTTGGTAGCAGCAGAAATTGCTGGATTTATATGCCAGGTTTTTTTTTTAACCCACACTGCATTCACTCACAGAAATAAGTTAGAGAATCCAATAATTTCGCCATGGACTGAATAAACAGTCACAACACAACAAACAGCCATTTATATCTATCTGAATATTGAGATTCTTTTCAGCTGCCCTTCTAAATGAGGCAGATGGCTACCAGGAGCGGGGCTTTTACAACAGGGTGTCCAAATTGTAATGGATGCCTTCTCCAGAAGGTCTAGTGCGACACCCTTTTAATAGTTAATTTCATTAGTAGTTATGCATTTTTCAATTCTCCCAGCCCATTTAAAAACTCATGTTGTGAATTGTAATTCAAATGACAATACACGTGATGTTCCCTGCAACTTTTTGCATACTTTTAAAAACCCAGAGCGTTGCAGCAAGAAGTAGAGAGCATCACATTTCCGTTCAGACTTCATTTTGGCCTTAGTTCTTACATGTTGTGAAGGATTTTTCTTTAAAATGATGCTATACATTTTGTCTTTATTTTCCTGATAGTAAGAGCTGTTTAGCATGGAACATGCTGCCTCAAGAGCGTGATGGAGCCTCCTTCCCTGGAGGTTTTTAAGCAGAGGCTAGATGACCATCTATTAGGAGTGCTTTGATTGTGCTTCTGTACGGCAGGCGGTTGGATTGCATAGCCCTTGTGGTCTCTTTCAACTCTATGCTTCTATTATTCCTTGCTGCCAAAAATAATTTGCATGCTATATTTTTGCAGTATTTCAATGTGTAATACATACACCCTCCCTGAACATACAGTATAAATTATTATTTTTAAAAATTATGATAATAGTTTATCTACTGGCCCAACTTATCATGTACAAGTAATTATATGATGGTCCTGGCCAAAGAATTCACAGCTATGGTCCTGCTAGAAGTCATTTGCCTTCTTGCCAAATATTCACTCCAAACATCAACCATCGACCCAGAAATGTGGAAGAAATAAAATTGTTGAGATTTACCAAGTACTCTTCTGTGCCATAGAGGGAGACAAACTGTTCATCGTCATCAAGCTCTCTAGCAGCTCCAAAATCTGTCAATTTATAAACAGATTGGCCATCTTCCCCTATAACTCGCATTATATTGCCTGGTTTGATGTCCCGATGTACAATTCCATTCTCCCGAAGATGGTTCATTCCAGCCACTTAGACATACAAGACAG